GAGTGATGACGTTCAACCTCGCGTATGCCGAGCCCTCACTCCTACCGTGAGCATCGCGGACGCCTTCCTTGGCGCCCACATGACCAGCACCAAGCATGCCGCCACCACTGCGACTCCACCTATGACTATCCGGGTCCTACGTGCGCGAGGACATTCGGCCGCGTTACCCAATGTTGTTTCTAATGTTCAGGCCTCTACCGGGGCAAGCAAGTTCTCATCTCAATAACATCAGGGTCTACGAGCGCGCGATGAAACAGTGCATCTACGACGACGACCTTGACTCCGACCGCAAGTTTCTCAACTATAACATGGACTCCACGCGCGACCGGCTGCCACTTCGCCGAGATCAAGGGCCGTCGACTGGCGAACCCCTCTCAAATCTTAGCTGCTTGTGGGCATTCGACCGATTCCCCCAACACAACTACTGCCTCCAACGTTTCTCGCCTCCGCCTCCACTGCCTGGTCCTCGTCGTCTTCGGGCTCGTGGCCGTCGCCGTAGGCGTCATCATCGGCCGCGTTATGCGAGGCCGAGAGTGCGTGGAGACCAGGGGGCCCTCTTGGCGCCCCGCCCAAAATGTCCCATACTGCGCTTGGATGCAAGAACTACACGCCTGGCCCAGCGTCCACTTTGGACGTATAACAACATCCCCGCAGGCGGCTGCCCTATCATGAGGCTTCCAGGGCCTCGCACGCAGCGTCGCCACGAGGGCCCCGTCGGGCGCGATGAACTTCGGGGCCGAGCTCCATGGGCCGAGGACGGATCCAGTCACAGACTTGCTCTACCATGTGGCACTGAAGTTTGAGAGTTTACAAGATGAGCGACAACTGCAGACAGGTTTGGATTTGACTGGCCATAGGAATTCAGCAGCGAGCGCATCGATAGTTCTTTGGCCCGTGGGGAGACTGCCTGCTCGGAGGCCGAGACAGCAGGATTTCGGATTCGGCAATGGTCAGTTGCTTTTCGCGAACTACGTCAGACCATTGCGAGTTCCGCCGCGCGAATGAAGCGCCGCCGCTCCTCCAACCAATCGGCGGCTTGGTGCCGCGCGCCCTTCGAGAATATGATCAACTGCTGGAGGCAATCACACGACGCAGGCGCACTGTCGAGCGCAGGCCGGCCAGCGTCTCCCAGCTCATGGGCTGCCCAGGCAGGGGTGACATGCGTCGCGCAGACACTGCAGTCCTCCGTGGGGGCAATGCCAAGCTGACGCACCAGCTCAGCCAGGAGCGCCGGCGGCAGGTTCTGGGGCGACCGCGCCGCAGGGCCCTCAAGGCGGCCAAAGAAACTTCACCGCCTGGGCGCCACCTGCGGCGGCGCCGGCTGCGGCGCCAGCTTCGACGGCGCCGCCAGCCGGCCCAGAGGCGGGCATTCGGGGGGATGCTGCAAAGAGGGCGACGGCGGAGCCATCGGCGACGCTATTTCCGCGCGGGCGAGCACAGATGCAGTCGCGACGATCTTGCCGATTCGCACGAGGCTGGTTGCTGGAGGCGCTGCGCGCGAAAGACCGTTCGACGCGCTCGCAAGCATGCCGCGCGGCGAACCCTCAAGGGAAGGGGTAAAGGAGGACGGGGCGGGCGCCGACGTCTTGCGGCCGCTCTCGACGACAACGCGCGCGACGACGGCTGGGCCCGCGGCGATCGCGGCGGGCACTGCTGGAGAGCGTCTGGCAAGGGCAGGAGCCGCAGTCATAATCTCGTTGGCAGAGACGGCAAGGTCATGATGTGCCATAACTCCGGGTCATCCCAAGACCTAGTGCATGATGGTCCGCGACCTGTAGGCTAGGGTATCTCGACAGAAAAAACTCCGTTCACTGGCGCGGCCGAAAACACACGGACTTGCCAGAACGCACGCAATTCGAGCAACTGCGTTCCATCGAGACCACCGAGCAGCGCGTGGACCTGGTCTTCGAGAATGGTGTGGAACAATACCACAGGCGCCAACAGTGCACCATCTATCATTGGCTCGTGGAAAAACGGCCCGAACAGCAAGAATCCGGATGCACCCGCCGAGGCTCTATTGCCCAAATTTCTTGGTCTTGGAAGCTGGACAGATACACGGCGCGGGAAACTGTGACAACGCCGACCAACATCGTCAACACCACGTGGGCCGGCTCAACTCAATATGTCGACCCACGTTTGCCACCCCGAGACGGTCCGATGTCGCGCACTTGCGCGCTCCCTGTCCGATGTCGCGCACTGGCGCGCTCCCTGTCCACGGCTGCCTACCTGCGCAGCGCCCATGGGGCGAGATGCCCGACGGCAGGCGCTGGCCGAACGCGGCCGAGAGCCAGCTCGCCGCTCTAGGCGTCGAAGCTGCCGAGCTCCCAGCACGCAACGAGTCATGGCACTCGGCAGGGCCGGGTCTTGACGCCTGCCTCGCAGGCGCGCGCTTCGGCCGAAGAGAAGGCATCGAGCACCCGGAGAAAAACATCCGCTCGCATCTCGCGCCGACTCGCCAACGGGCAAGGCTCAGACCCACAGTTGTTCAACTCAAATGGAA